ACAACCCAATCTTTACCATGCTTAATTCAACAATCTTCCTACACCCCTTGATATCACATGCATATAAAATAATCAACTCTTATGCCTAAAAATTATCTTGCTAATTAACCATTTTCAGATGATTTCGAAATTAGGGTTTAGGGTGTAGAATCTTACCTCTAGGATGAAGACCTAGTGAGCTTGCCTTCTTAATCTTCCAAAACTTGAGCAAGAATTGAAGAACAATTTTTTGAAGAACACCTTCTCACTCTAGGGCACTCTCTCTCACTCTAAAATATCACATTATATCTCAAAAAGGCCCAAAACGTATATTTAACGAAGTAGGGTCGGGTTTTAAAATCCCAAAAATGAAGCTCCGGAACAGGTTCTGCGGTCGCATATGCGACAGTATAATGTTTATGTGGACCGCATATCGGTCGCATAATTGGTGTCCAAAATGACCAAAAATCTGCCTGAGTCTGCGGTCACTATGTGGTCCGCATAAATGTTACGCTGTCGCATAGTCGACCGCATAACTACTTCCAACTGACCCAATTAACTGCCTCACTCTGCGGCCATTATGCGGTCCGCATAGTGATTCTATGATCGCATAATGGACCGTAGAAATGTACTTTTCCGCCAAAAAAATTTCTTTACTTTTCAGTGCATTGTTCAACCCAAAAAGTCCGAGCCGCGGCTCGCAAGCTCACCGAGAAGAATTTCTATAATACTCAACACGTAAAACCAATTCGGCACCACAAAATATTATTTTCTTTTGCAAAAATTTTACGGGGCCTTACACACATGGTGCCTCCTCTCCCACAGATGTGGAGGCTGTCTTACTAAGAGATTTTGTGATGCTGCAGTGGGGAAGGGTGATTCACCTCGCCTAGCAGAGGCATTGTGCGTTGTGTCCTCGTCCACTGCTTCAGAGCTTTTGTGGATAATGTTCATGAGGTTGGTTTGGGAGGTCACTCATTATTCTCGTTCTTTATTCTCTGTTACCTGCCATATTAGATCTATGCATGCAGAGAAAAAAAGGTTCTTGTTTTTTTTTTACGTCAATAACCAGTATCGATTGTAGATCTAGAAGAAACTAAAAGACTTAGCTAGAAGATCCCCACAGGCGGCACCAAATTGTTTGACCAAAAAGTATAACTTTTGGCTAAACTATTAAATTTATGTAATAATGGGTTAAATCTAGTTAAGGATAATAACTCTAAATGCAAATCTTGAAAACGTGTGGGAAAGAGAGACATATCTCATAAATGATTGATGACAATAAGTCTAAAATATTCTTAAAGTATGAGCAATAATGGTGGTGTAACCAGCAATAAATAGTATTTAAATAAATAGAGAGAGTGATCCACTCAATAATATATGGATTGGACGAATGTTACTCCTGACAATGATGAGTGACAGAAAGATCCAAGATTTGTTTAAATAATCCTCGGATCTGATGGAAAAGTGTGGAATGATATGAGAAAGAATCTTTATCAAAAGGTAATCTTTGTATTTTCACAAGAGAGAAAGAATCTTCTTCTGAAAAGTGTTCTTATCAGATGAATATTACATTCCCGTATCATTGTCTATTCTTTCTATATATATGGGATATTTTTCTAAGAAACCCTAATAGTACAAGTGCAGAGAATATCCACTAGAATATTCCCTTTTAATATCCTATCCTGACAAACTAGTCGTTACAACTCCTATCATCAATATTCAACCTCGACCTCGACCCTTGTTGACATCTCGGTTACGGCTCTTGTCGACATCTCGACTACGGCTCATGTCGACACTTCGGCCAATGACTTTGTTGCTTCTTGGGTGACCTCGATCGACTCTTTCATTAATGTCATATTACGCTAAATATACTTAGGGTGGATTTTGGCCTATACACATAATCCTCCCTAAACTATTCTATTGAATGTGGTATAGATTAATGCACAAATAGTAATACAACAGTTTAATCACACTCATTTAAAATTTATCCTCATATATAATGTATACTTAGGGGTCATTTCGTAATGATGGATAAGCAAAAATAATTCTGGGTAAAAATTTAATATTGCCTTATCCCTTGTTTAATTAGTGGTCTTGGGATAAGTCCCATGATTAAAAATAGTATCTGGGTAACTTATATCTGTCAAAGGATGGAATAATAATTCCAGGATAAGTTATCCCAGGATAAAGTAATAAAATTGATAATCTCAGGATTAATACAACATACCAAACAGTCAATAAGAAATAATACCAAGATAATAAATCTCAGCATAACTAATCCTAGTATAACTAATCCTAACATAATTAATCACATCATAACTAATCAAACGACCCCTTATAGTTTAAGGGTTTTAAAGTGAAAAAATAAATTTTAATATGGTTTAAATAGTAAGCAAAGTTATACTTGGTATTTATGAAAATCGTTGATTTTTAGTTTACTCCGATCCGCTAAATCTCCAAATTGAGAGCATAGTCCATATGTTTGTACAATTATGACAACTTTCTTCTTTTCATGTCAGCCAATTCGCTAAGGACATTACTCAGGAAGCTTGAGCCCCTCTTCACCCTACCATTTGACTCGCCTACTTATGCCATTGCCAACCATCCATTCCTTCCTTTCAGCTACCTTTTGAATTCATGTCATTCCCTCGCAGCCCTCAAACGGTTACACGCTCTTGCTTTGACAACTGGTTACCTCACCAACCTCCCAGTATGTACCAAACTTGTATCTTTGGCTTGTTTTTTATCGCCCACGATGGACTACGCCCGGAAGCTGTTCGACCAAATGCCTCAAAGAGATGTGTTTGCTTGGAATACCGTAATTCGGGGATATTCCAATCTGGGTCCTTGTCAAGAAGCTATAATCCTGTACAAAGACATGCATTTACAGGGTTTTTTACCTGATAACTATACATTCCCTTTTGTGCTTCGGTCTTGCTCGGTGTTATCCGCTTTGAGAGAAGGTAGAGAAGTACATTGTAACATTATTAAACATGGATTTGAATCTGATGTGTTTGTACAGAGTTGTTTGATTACTCTGTACGCGCAGAGTGGGGAGACTTTGGATTCAGAGTTGGTGTTTGATCAAATGAGAGTGAGGAATATAGTTTCTTGGACTGCTACGATTGCAGGGTATGTGCAAAATGGAATTCCGGAGAAGGGATTAGGACATTTTCTCAAAATGGTCAATTCGGGTACTTTGCCTAATGCTATTACTTTGGTGAGTGTACTTCCCGCCTGTGCACGGTTGGAGAGTTTGGATATGGGAATGTTGATTCATGGCTATAGTATTAAGTTAGGAGTGGAAACAGACGTTGCACTAGTTAACGCTTTGATTGCATTCTATGGGAAGTGTGGACTTGTTGACGTCGCGTGGTCTTTGTTTGAAATGAAGGAGCATAATCTGGTTTCATGGAATACAATAATTGCTGTTTATGAGCAAAATGATGCTGGTTCTGCTACAATTAAGCTATTTCAGAGAATGCTAGATGAAGGGGTAAAATTTGATTATATTACATTGGTTACTGTTATTTCGGCTTGTGCCAGATTGGGGGCACTTGGTACTGGAAAATGGATTCATGACCTTGTCAAAAGCAAAGGTTTGGAATGCAATATTCCAATCACAAATGCACTTATTGATATGTATGCAAAATGTGGGAGTATAGAATTGGCTAGAGATGTTTTTGACAGGTTGCCTTGTAGAAGCGTGGTTTCCTGGACATCAATTATAGGAGCTTGTGCTTCTCATGGTCATGGGAAAGATGCTCTTGAGTTCTTTTCAAGGATGAAAAAAGAAGGAATCCAACCTAATAGCCTCACCTTCACTGCTGTATTGACAGCTTGTCGGCATTCAGGTCTTGTAGAGGAAGGGAGGAAGCACTTTGAGAGCATGACAACAGAATACTCGATAGTGCCAGGTGTGGAGCAATGTGCTTGTATGGTGGATCTTCTAGGTCGAGCAGGCCAACTTTTTGAGGCTTATGAATTTGTAGAGAACATGCCTATTGAGCCTGATGCAGATGTTTGGGGAGCTTTGCTTGGTGCTTGCAAAATTCATGGCAATCTTGAGCTGGCAGAATCTGTAGCAGATCGACTACTTGATTTAAATCCCCAGACAGTTCCTTTCTACATACTCATGAAAAATATCTATGCTGAAGCTGGGAGGTGGGAGGAAGTAGCAAGATTGAAGTTTTTGTTGGAAGAAATGGAAGCGGAAAAGATTCCTGGCAAGAGTTCAGTTGAGATAAATCAACGGATACACACATTTTTGTCTGGGTCAAGGATTTCAAACTTCTCGACAGTTCCACTGCGTGAACATGGTGTTCAACTGAAGCACAAGCAAGCAGCATTTTAAGTCTCTTGTTGTTCTTTAAGCATAGAGTATTATTATTATCTGTTACAGTCCATTGAAGAATGCTTTTGCGGCTTGGCCATCCTGGACTTGAACCAGAGACCTCGCTGGTGAAGTAAATCATTGCACCTATGTCCAACCAATTATGAGATAATCTATAGATTCCCTTTCAGGAACAAGCCATCCTTCCTTACGTAGCATAATTGTACTACGCTCTCCAACTATGCCTCTGAAGATTGGGCAAATTTGATGGTTATCCATGGAATATTAGCTCAGGTGGGAAGAATGGAAAAGATTGTACTTGCTATATCCATTTCTTGTAAACATGTGTTGGTCCACTATTCGTTGTATTGACACATATTTTTCAATATTCCAAGTATAGCCAAGTGTACAATTTCATTCTTTAAAATCAATTTTTATGCTTAACTGCACGGTATAAAGAAAGTTTCTGTTGCTGTAGTTAATTATCACCTCTTTGCTGTACTTTCTAAAAGTAATGAATAGATAATTTCTGGTTCTTCCTAACCATTTTGTCAAGCTCATGCATGGTTTATTCTATGGTCTGTAACAATATGCAATTCAGTGTATATCTTCTGTATTGATCATGTGCTGGAAAGTCATTATAAGCATATTATTTGGGCTTCTCCCGTCCAAATAAGCATATTATTTGGGCAATTACATACATGGCTGGAAAGTCATTATAAGCATATTATTTGGGCTTCTCCCGTCCTCCTAGCCTGCTCCACCAACGTCTAAAAAAAGGCAGTCTGGTGCACTAAGTTCCCACTATGCGCGGGCGCAGTCTTACCCTATATTTCTGCAAGCGGTTGTTTCCACGGCTCGAACCCATGGCCTCTTGGTCACATGGCATCAACTTTACCAGATACGTCAAGGCTCCACCAACGTCTAAAATTGAAAAATAGAAAGAATAAAAAGAACACCCAGAAATTAAAGAATTTTGAACTTATTAGAGACTGGAAATTGGCTAGTATAAGTGACTGAATTAAATGGAACATTCTGCATCAAGACAAAGGAAGATGTAACAAGGCTTTACACAAATAAAATCAATCCACAAATTCCAAATAGCCACCCTATAGTGACTCAATAACATCATCATAACAAGTACTACACCTCACAAATGCATATATAAATACCCTCTTAGAACCTTCTTAATCTGTCTCTCTTTGAATTTTAGCCTTCAAAATCAGTTTTAACCCACTGTCCATACTTGTTCTTAATCTTCTCATCCAACTCCTTAGCTTTCATTTCAGAAATCTTGTTTGCATTTGCCATTGACTCTTCTTGAACTTTAGCAATCCTCTGATTCCTCTTCCTTGACCATGCCTCTCTCTCTGCTTCTAAACCTTCATAATCTCTCACCCAACAACTCTGCACTGCACATGTCAAAACCAACACTCCCAATTGCATTACAAACATGGCCATTAGAACCCCACATTCCAATCTCACCAAAACTTTTGCTTCTCTAGGGTCTCTTGGTGATTTCAGCATCGAAAGACTCGATTTTTCTTTAGTGAACAAAGCCAAAATGCCGAGTAATTGGCCAATGCACGACGCCAAGAGAAGGGATATGTGTGTTATGAAGCAACAATGAGTTAGCTGAGAGTAGAAACCAATGAAACAAGAAAGAAGTGAAATGGCAGAAACCATGAGAAAAGCCCAACCAAGTGAAGTTGGTGGTGTTTTGAGTACAACTATTGGAGCTACAGAAGCTGCAGAAAGAATGAAGAGAATGAAATTTAGAAAAGAAAGCAGTACAATTGGGAAGGAACAAGAATGCCTAAGCTTTGAAGAAGTCATTTCTGAAAATGAATAGTGTATTTGTTTTTTCTACTTGGATTGTGATAATATTTGGTGATGAAGGTAGAAATGTTGAAGTTTCTATATATAGAGAATATGGCCGTTGAGGAGATATGTGACATACTGGCATTATAACATTTAACGGCTAAATTTGGACAGACCCCACATTTTTGTCTAGATTGATGTTTCAACGTTTGAGTTCGGAGTTCCCTCCTTCTGGTTTTGAAAAAGTGAGCGTTTTGAGGTTTTGTAAACGTTAAAAAAGCGTTTAGATTTCTGTGAATTTCGTGGCTTTTAATGTCATATGATTATTGTTGTGATACTAATATTGTCTCCTTTTGTCCTTTTGTATTTTTGTTTCTTTTTGAGCCGAGGGTCTTTTGGAAACAGCCTCTCTACCCCGTCGGGGTAGGGGTAAAGTCTGCGTACACACTACCCTCCCCAGACCCCATTAGTGGGATTTTACTGGGATGTTGTTGTTGTTGTTGTTGTTAATGTCAAGGAGGTTGATTAAAGGGCCCATGAGATGATTCAAGCCTCATAATTCAGATTAATTTATTAAATGACTTGCTACAATCTACAAGGTACTACTCCCTCCCGTCCTGACCATTTTACCTTTTTATTTTGGTCCAAAATAAATGTTCACTTAAGTAATCAAGAAGGAATTGATTTTATTTTTCCAAAATTTGCCTTTATTTACATATTTGAATGTGTCAAGGTAACAATTAATTAAGGTTAATTTAGTGAATACATCTTTTTTTCTCTAGGAGTTCGTATTTACTTAATGAGTGTGTCAAAAATAAAATGGTCACTTATTGTAAACCGGAGGGAGTACTAGATAAACATGTTTTATCATGATTAGGATATCCCCTCAAGGACACAATCATTATGATTTTAGGACATCTTATCCAATATAGAGACAAAAAGACATGAATGAATTTCAAATTTTGAACACAAAATTACTGTCTTGCATTGCTCTATCAATTGTTCAAATCAGTTAGAGAATTATTTTCTTGAGCCGAGGGTCTTTCGAAAACAGTCTTTCTATTTTCATAAGGTAGGGTAAGTTCTGAGTACACTTTACCCTCCCCAGACCCCACAATGTGGGATTACACTGTGTATGTTGTTATTTGCATTGCTCTATCAATTATGTGCCTTTTGGCTTCAAATGTGAAGCCTACACCACACCACTTTCTTCTAACTAGTGTACTTTAGCTATCCCAAATATCACCCTTCGGCCTGTAGAGGGAGTCTAATAATTTTGTAATTTTTTTGGGCAAATCAATGATTTAAGTCAAGAAAATCTTCCGCGGTCCAAAAGAGCCTTCATTTCAAGTGAGGTTACTTTGAACATTTTCCGCATTGCCTAAAGAAGCACTGTGTACAAAAACTGAAGATTGAAAAACTTTTTTTTACTGATCCAGTTTTATCCATTGAAACTAAAGAATGCAGAAAATAATAATCTACAGAGCAGGATTTGAGATAAGTTGGCATTTTCAACATGATCATCACTTCACAAAGATGTCAGCTCTAGGAACGCACACATTATGAAGTATGCCGTTGGCTATACAACCCACCATGGTTGACCACATATCCATTTTACGCGCTGCTCACTCCTTTTTGTTCCTGCCTATGCTTAGTTTACTGCAATTCAGTGAGATACAGTATTATGTAGATCAAACTTGAATACATTGGGCCAAAAAATAAACTTGAAATACTCAACAATTCAAGTGTATATATTAAGCACCCAATTGCTCTCCGCAACCCCATGAAACAGTGCATGACTACTACCACTTGCAACTATGCTATGGCAGTTACTCAAATAGGCCTAAGAGGTTAAGAAAAGAAACAACTTGGCTCGTTGATGTCTAAAGAGCGGCAGCTAGGCCTCCTCCAGTTTCCATTGGATCTTACTAATCATAAAAAAGGGTCAGTTAAAAAAAAAAGAAAAAAAAAAAAGAAGTGATTAGGTGAGAAATGGGATTACTAATTAAAGCTGAAACAATTTGGAAACCTAAAGGATCTCACTGTCTTAAAGAAACAGTGAGGAGTGGTTTTAGCATTGCAAATTCTGAACAGAACACTCGAACAATTAACCAAATTCAAAACAACATTTACGTTTAGCACTCCCTCTGCCAACAAAGCACAAAGCAAAAAGGATATCTGAAAAAGATGTTTCTACGAGTAAAAGTACATAAATGCAGCATACTATTTATGGAAATGAAATTTTCAGTTAGCTGGAAGAACTTTGGGTGACAGAACATGAGTAGTTAACCAACCGTAATACTACCAAGTATCAACTTAGTAGATAAAGTTCTTTAGGTCTATAAAACTTTACGATGACATCTGTTTTCCTAGGCAGATAGATGTCCCTTCACTCAATCCCCCCTCGCTTACCACCATGAACAACACTTTTCCCGATACAATCGGTTTTTAAGCGGGGTCATAACCACAAGCAAACCGAGCTTTACGTGTCTTAACACGTGCATTCTCTAAGTCGGCTTTTGAAACATCCCCATTTCCCATCAGATCCCTGAATATATCCAGCTGCCCCTCAACGTGAATCCATTCCTCGTACAAATCCGGAGGAACATCAGGAAAATCAAAAGTGCGGGATAAGGATGGCTGAGCCAGTAACTGTGCCTTTTCGGCCTCGAGGGCAACAACTCGATCACCAAGGACTGCGACCTATTTTTCTAACTCCCATATCCGTTCATCAAGCCTCTCCTCTATGAGTCTAGTCATCTCCAAAGCGTAATCCCGTTCAGAACGGAGAACGTAGATCGTGTTCTCTAAAGCTTCCACTTTATGCGCATCTGATAACTGGGCCAACCCCGCCTTCTCCAAACCCTCCACCTTCTCGGTGACCTCGCTACTCAAAGCGGCCACTCGAAGTTGACACTCCTCCAGCTCGGCACGCAATGAGACGACTTGGGCCTGAAGGTCGGCGCATTGAGCCTCGACCCCCCTGCTCACATCGAGCTCCTCTTCTTTGTCCTTCAACGCCTCTTCGAGCTCGCTACATTTTCTGATGACCTTCACCAATTAGTTTTCGGAGAGCCCAGAAGTTGCTACTTCCACCAAGCCGCCGGCAAAGCTCGCGGTGCTTTTCACGATACCCGCGATATTTCCACTCTATCTTGTGGAAGATGACCTTACACCTCTCATCTTGACGGGAACTTTCAATCTCCAAGATCACGGTCTGAAAAGAAAGCCATAACGAGTATGAACAAAGCTAGATTCGACATGAAAAATGAATATAGAAATGGAATACCAAACTTACCCTAAAAGCAATGCCCACTATGCTCATCGACAAAGTGGAATCCTTCAGTTTCTCGAGGGTCTTACCCTCCACATCAGAACAAAGTAGACCAAGAGAAGGGACCACGTCCTCCGTATTAACTAATAGATCCCGGTCTAGAGGGATCTCAATAGTCCGCATGGTCCCCTCCAATCTCACCTCGAGCCGGGTGAGTCCTTCCTCCATCATCCTAACCTCCTCGACGTCCATGTCGGAGCCTGTCTCATAATCCTCTTCGGCTACACTTTTGCCATTTGTATCAACCCGAGAGGAAGGATCCTCGGCTGGTAACGAGGTCGATGGCTCACCCCCTTGTAAGGCGTCAGGGACTCGCGCCGACGGCCCTTCAAATCCTGTTTCGGCCTCAGAGAGCAACGTATATCCCTCGGTCCCCGACGACGGCGAAATTGTGGGCAGCTGCTCGGCATCATCTCCGAGGTCTATGATTGTCGTTTCTCTGACGACAAAATCCTCCATCATGGAACTCCCCACGCGGACAACTCTCTTGCCGATGTTGACAGGTCGCCTCTTGCGGGGAAGAAAATTATCGTTATTCGGCGACGATCCTTCCTCATCGTCCTCGTCAATTAGATGACGTAGAGGGTAAGTAGAAACACCCGCTGCAGTAGTCGATGACCGAGCAAGCCTCACCGCAGCAGCAGGAACAAAAACAGTTTTCCTCTTACGGAATGTCAGAGCAGGATCTTTCTGCCTCCTCGAAGACTCTCGACCTACAAAAGAGATTAGAACGTCAACTCTTACTTAAAGTCATAATGAACATGTGACCACAAGGTCAGGGCGACATATATAAAAGATCACTATATGTATGAGTACGGACGGACGGACTCACCGATCGTTGAAAGCTTGGGCACAAACTTCTTGAAAAAGGACGGCCACTCAGGAATCCCCACTGTGTGAGGCAAGACCCGGCTAACCCAATCGTAAATATCCGCAACCAAAAGAGGAGGCTCGGTCTCGGCTGAACGAGGAAAAGACAGAATGATTAGGCTACGACTAAAACGAGCAAAATGAGCACTTAATAAAAATATTTAGGGGCATAATTTCACGCCTCAAGAAATCCATTTGCATTTGCCACCACGTCCTCAGTCTTGACGTAGAAGTAATTAAACCAGAATCGACGATTTGCTTTATCGTCCATCTTCACTGCCAAGCTATTACTTCCATGGTGACGAAGGTGCAACATCGCCCCTATAGAAACTGGGCGCGAAGAGGTGCATCAGGTGGCGAAAAGAGATCCTATGGCCAGCCAATTCTGCATACTTCATCAGCATACAAATGAGCTTGTATATATAAGGAGAAAGCTGAGTCGGGCAGACGTTGTAGTAGCGGCAAAATTCCTCCGCCAATGGGAGAAAGGGAAAATAGTAGCCCACGTAGAATACGCATACCCGAGGCAATAAATCTGCACCACATTACTACCAGATGAGACTAGATCGATGTGGGCTGGAATTTTGAACTTCGCCCTGAAATTAGCAAGGGCAGCAGCATCCATCTCAGACTCCACGGCCTCAGGTCGTCCTTGGGCAGCTTTGAGAAGTCAGTTCTAGCCTTCTCATTACGGGGAATTAATTCCTTCACCATAGGAAAGCTTTCATCTTCTGCAATAATGGCAGCCCCATCATCATGGGGAGGCATGCGCACTGCCAAAGGAACAGGGTCAGGTACCCCCCAGAACTGGAAGACACGTTAACCATTTTTGTTTGTGAATAGAGGAGATGTAAACGCAGAAGAGTCAAGAGTAGCAGGAGTCATCAAAATCAGTGAAAGAAAGAATATGAAGTTAGATCAAGAAAAGAGGGAGTCTAAATGAGTAAGGAAGAAGAAGAAGATATAAAGGTCTGATTTTTAAAATGCAAAGAGTGAATCAAAGGATTGTGTATCCCTATTTATAAGAGTTCGAGCATTAATATCGAGAAAGCAAATCGTCGTTACCCAGCTCAAGAATCGAAACGACAGAGGCGTGGGAAACGATATAATGTATCGGGGAAATGCATAATAATGACGCATGATGACATGACGTCATTCTGAAACGATGTGACCCTAGGTTGCAGCTCACGGAAGGCCACATTTCTTTCCCGTCCGAAACGCTACTACTCGACCTGCTCGCCAAAAACTTCTCAACCATAACTAACAGAGTCTGCTCATCGAGGTCGCCTAGGGTCGACATCAATAAGCGGATGGACTAACTGTATAGGTCAAAATCTGCCTTTGTGGGATTTAACATGGAGCGTTATTATGGAAAGCGATGTGGCCGAGGTCGACTAGTAGATAACATGGCTCGTAGCCGAGCAATCAATAACGGCCGAGGTCGAGTATCAATGGCAGTGCTAATGGCTAGTTTTTGTAATAGGATATTTAAGTGGAATATTCTCTGTATTTGTACTTTTAGGGTTGATTGAAGTATGTCCCATATAAATAGAAAAAGAGATAGGGGAAAAAGGAAAAAACATTCTCTGATAAGAGCACTTTTTGAGCAGAAGACTTTATCTCTAGGAAAGATACAAACAATACTTTTCTAAGAAGATTCGATTATCTATTATTCCACACTTTTCCATCAGATCCGAGAATAGTTCCAATATTATTACACTTGTCTATCACTCATCACTGTCAGAAGGAGTAATCATCCACCTCATTTAATATTTGGTGAATCATTCTCCTTATTTACGTTAATGCCATTTATTCTTATTTATTGCTTGATATTCTTCCATCACTAATCATCTTGAAACATTAAATGTACACAATATTCTACCAACATTGTCCGATTTTATTTGAGTTGACTAGTTATAAATCTGAAGATATTATTATTAACAAGGTTTAATCTTTTTTTATATAAAATTAATTAGTTTTATCAAAGATTTACACTTTTTGGTCAAACAAATACAATATTAAATAACATAAGACTACTATAATAATATAATCACAAAAAATTATTGTGAAATGAATAAAATATTTCACATTTTGTGAGATGGCTCAAGTTCAAATCTTGAGTATAAAAACTTTGGGATAAGTACTTTCCAATTTAATGGGTACATGTACTTTAAAAATTAGATTTTCATATTTTGCTATTTATGGTGTTTGATGTTGCTTTTGATATTACAGTTTGTTGAATTTGATAGAATTTTTCTGGTGTTTTAATAAAAATATTTATATTCCCACAATCTTCGCAATAGTAAAGTTAGTTAAATATAATGACAGAGACAAGGATCAAAAGTGCGCAAGAATATATTTAAGGAACAAAAATTTAACCTACTCTCAAACATAGGTGGGTATTTTTGTCATTTTATCGGGAGGAATAAGACGAACCCCCAAACAGCGCCTTACCATCTAAAACCCTGTAAACCCTTTTTCCGTTGTCCACAGAGTTAGCGAGTGAGCTTTTCCCTCAAAACTCAGCAGAAATGAGCAGAATCCAATCCTACGACGACTTTGTTAAAGTCCACGGTGTACTCCTAGCGGCCGCCGGAATCCCTCAGTCACTCCACAAGCTTCTCTTTCAGAAGCTCTCCTCCGACACTTTCGACGGCGGTCACTTTTTCCAAATTGAGCCGCTCGAAGATGGCCGCCAAAGGAGGCTACTTTTCACTTCCGATTTCATGCCTAAGCACTCTAATCTTTTCCTTGTTGATCACGCTTGGACTTTTCGTCTCCCCGATGCTTATAAGCAGGTTTTTAAAACTGTTTTCTCTCTAAAAATGGAGTAATTTACGCATATGTATACATTACATAAATCAAATACATGAAAATGAAGTGATAAACATACGTAAACACTATGTACATTACATTTAACAGGGTAAAGTTCAGTGACTTTAATGTAACAAAAAATAGTTTGTAATTTTACTGTTACAAGTAAAGTTCAGTGGCTTTAATGTGACGGACAACAATTTTTTGGGATGCAAAAAATAGTTTTGTGACTTTACTGATACAACTTTTTTTTTTCAACTTTACTGATACAACTTTTTTTTTTTCCAACTTTACTGATACAACAGGAGAAATTAAAATTTTGTGATTTTACTGAGACAAAAAATAGGTTTATGACTTTACTGATAGAACAAGTAAATTTAGTGAGCATGTGTTAAATTAATCCTGGAAAATTGGTGATGAAGTAGATGTTATTTCATTGGCGATGCTTTCAGTTATTTGCAATTAATTTTTGTATTTTTCTTTAAATTTCATAATGCAGTTGTATGAAGTTCCAGGTTTAGCAGAAAGAATGGCTGCATTAATGTGTGTAGATAGTGCAGCTGAGGAAGCAGGTGATGTAGATGGCAGTGCAGGCGAAGAGGATAGTATTAAACTGAGTGCCGTGGAAATAGTTCAGAGAGAAATAAAAGAAGGCGGGGATGATGCTACGAGGTGGTTGGAGCTTGAGGAACTTGACATTGATGATGACATGCTTCTATCTCTTGATTTGCCTAATAAATTTCCTGTACGTTTCCCTTATAGCTCTAAATTATGATATCAACCTGATCAATTAGAAACTAAAAAGAAATAGGAACAAAGTAGCTCCTCGGGACTTGGAATTGCAAACCCTGTTCTTGTGCAAGCTTGCTTATATGTGCCTGTGATAGCATGAGTTTTATCCGTGGAGAAGTAGTTCCCTTTTAATGGCCTTACTTTGCGTTAGGATTCTTCCCACCTTCCCTACGCATGAGAGATGCAAGTTGTGGTTTCTTGTACATAATAGCTAGCCTAGATTTCTTTATGAGATCTTTATTATGCATATAATGGAAAATCTTTTAAATTAGTGTGTTAGAAGCTGCAACTGCTAGTTATCTTATAGGGGCAAAAATTGTATGCAATGAGTCACCTCTAGTGTATTGGTGCTTTTCACTATGTTTGTTACAACAACAACAAACCCAGTGAGTTCCAACAAGTGGGGTCTTGGCTTTTCACTATGTTTGTTGTCACACTTTTTAACAATGTTGACTTGGTGCTTTATTTTACTTATATTTCTTAATTTTAAATTTTCTTGCATCAGAATTTACTGGCACTGAGCCTGTGCAGCAACAATCTGAAGGATGTTGAGATTGTTGCCAAGGAAGTTACCCGACTCAAAAATCTTAAAGCTCTCTGGCTGAACAATAATCCAATTTTGGAGCGTAGGTAAGTTACCAAGAGCTCAGTAACTAGGTCCAATGAAGCAGTGAGTTTTTTTTGGAATAGTAATTGATGCTCGGTTAGCAATTTCCTTATTGGCAAGCTTGAGCAGTATTTGATGCTTCTTCCTTCTTTGGATAGTAATTCAGAGACTGCAATCATTCAGGGTTGCCCTGGTTTGGAAATTTGCAACTCAAAGTTCACATCTAAGTATGGAGAGTGGGCATTAGGATTTTGTGGTGGAATCTATGACAAAGAAAATGCAGGCTTTGCCCATCAAAGAGATCATCCTTTGGAGAGTGTGACATCTCTAGACCTTAGTAACAGGTCTATTCACAATCTGATAAACAAGGTGAGGCCTATTACTACGTTTACCTTTCCAAATAAAGGTGCTTTGAATTTATCATGAAATTCTCTTTTGTTTCCTCCCCNTTGGTTGCTCCTCTATCCTTCTAATATTTTCCTGTTTATGCTGCTTGGTTTTCTCAGGCATTTAATCCTGATGAGATCCCATCTCTTTCTTACATAAATCTGCGTGGAAATCCATTGGACCAGAATTCTCTTAGCGATTTATTGCAGCTTCTTAAAGGATTCAGTTGCTTGGATTCTCTGGAGGTACCTCTTTTAACTACTGCTGCTTTAGTGTGAGCACATAATGATTTTTATATAAACTATGGAACAGGTTGATATTCCAGGGCCTTTAGGAGAAAGCGCTGCTGAAATTGTTGAAGCCCTGCCTAATCTTTCTCTCCTAAATGGAGTAAACACATCCAAAATATTGGAGTCTGGGAAGTCTGTGGTCGATTCAATGTTGCAACCACGTCTTCCTGAGTGGGCTGCCGGAGACCCTCTAGAAGATCGTGTCATAAATGCTATGTGGTTGTACTTGATGACATATAGACTTGCAGATGAAGAAAAGATTGATGAAACCTCTGTATGGTATGCAAGCTAGAAATTTACCATTTCATTTGATTATCCTCAAAGTTATCTCCATGTGGTGTCCTTCTTCCCTTACACATCTGCTCTAAGCAATATGAATAGTTCGGTTTAATAGGCATTCTCAGCATCTTGAAGCTTTGGGCTTCTTGTTTTCTCTTGCTTGGTTCTGAAGATTGCATCTACAGACTCTACAGGATCTAAAAAAAATTGCACATTTTTCTGTGAGCTGAAGTTGGAGGAATTCTAGTTGTGTAAAGTTAGACTATTGGACTTTTAGCAATTGGAATTTAAAAAATGTCAATGTGATCAGAATCCCTCTGTCTATTTTGTAAAATGTTTAACTTGACTCTTTGACTAAATTGGTGAGAGTTGCTATTGCAACTAAGAAGTCTTTCAACTTGATTGTGCCAAAGTTGCTGGACTATAATGATATGATACAATGCTTTTGTGATTCTTAACAATGTTTTCTGAACTCAAGCTTATATGCGTATTATCCTCTTATCAACATGTTTGTTTGTGCTCATAGGTATGTAATGGATGAACTTGGTTCTGCTTTGCGCCACAGCGACAAGCCAAACTTTAGAGTATCTCCTTTTCTCTACATGCCGGAGGGCAATTTGGCATCAGCTTTGAGGTTCTCTTCTTAAACTACCTGCATTCTTGCTTACATATTTGGATGTTCTTCTTTTGTAAATGACTTTTTGTATATATTGGAGTACACAAGAAATTCCTTGTTTAGATGACTACTTGGGATTTGTAGCTGCGTATACCTCTTGTACCCAGGCTTCAGGTTTTGCCCTTTTTGTGAATAAATCTCTAAAGTGCTCAGATTGTATATCCTTTTTTATTATACTTTTGTGAACAGATACCTATCCAAAATGTTGGTTATGCTTTTTTGTTTAAACAGCAAATAACGTATCACTTATTCAGTGGCGGAGCCACCTTATAGGAAGGGGTGTCAAATGACACCGCGCAATTCCAATGTGTAGCTAGGTAAAAAAATAAATTATATGTATATATACTATGTATTGACTCCCCTTAATTTCCTGGTATGTTTACTTTTATATATTTTGATACTCCTTAACGAAAATTCTGGCTCCGCCACTGCACTTATTTTTCAACAACAACAATAACCCAGTAATAATCCCACTAGTGGGGTCTGGGGATGGTAGAGTGTACTTAGATCTTACCCCTACCCCGGAGAGGTAGAGAGGCTGTTTTTTGGGAGACCCTCGGCTCAGAGACTAAAGATCTGTAACAACAATAGAAACCAGACAAATAATATCAACATCGTAAGAGACAACAAATAAGTGGAAGGACAATAATTATGGTAATAATAAAAATTGAAAAAAATAATAAAAATAGTGTGATGAAACAAAAACCGCTAGCAGTCCTAGACAAAACACTATCAGACTAGCCGGAACAGCGAGGAAAAAATGCTCTACTACCCCCTAACCTACAACCCTAATGCTCAACCTCCACACCTCTCTATCTAGGGCCATGTCCTCGGAAATCTGAAGCTGTGCCATGTCTTGCCTGATCACTTCGCCCCAATACTTCTTAGGCCGCCCTCTAACTCTCCTCGTACCTGTCAAAGCCAACCGTTCACACCTCCTAACCGGGGCATCTAGGCTCCTCCTCCGCACGTGCCCGAACCATCTAAGCCTCGCTTCCCGCATCTTGTCGTCCATGGGAGCCACGCCCACCCTCTCCCGAATATCTTCATTCCTAATCTTATCTAGCCTAGTGTGCCCGCACATTCATCTCAACATCCTCATTTCGGCTACTTTCATCTTTTGGATATAAGAATTCTTGACTGGCCAACACTCAGCCCATACAGCATGACCGGTCTAACCACCGCTATATAGAACTTACCTTTAAGTTTCAGTGGCACCTTCTTTGGTACTTCAGACGCTAACCTCCATTTCATCCATCCCACCCCGATGCGGTGCGTGACATCCCCGTCGATCTCCCCATCTCCCTGGATAATTGACCCTAGGTACTTGAAACTCTATCTCTTAGGGATGACTTGCGAGTCAAGCCTCACCTCCACGTCCGCTTCCCCCAACACATAGCTGAACTTGCACTCTAAATATTCCATCTTGATCCTACTCAACTTGAAACCTTTAGACTCCAGGACCTGCCTCCATACCTTCAGTCTCTCATTAACATCGCCTCTCGTCTCATCAATTAGAATTATATCACCGGCGAACAACATACACCACGGCACCTCCCCTTGAATATGGTGTGTCAGTGCGTCCATCACCAGGGCAAATAAGAACGGGCTGAGCGCAGATCCTTGGTGTAACCCCATAACCACCAGAAAAGGGTCTGAGTCACCTCCCACAGTCCTAACCCTAGTCTTAGCTCCATCATACAAATCCTTTATCGCCCTAATATAAGCTACCGGCACACCTTTCACCTCTAGGCATCTCCAAAGAACGTCCCTAGGGACCTTGTCATACGCCTTCTCTAGATCAATAAACACCATGTGGTATCACTTATTTTTCCTTTGTTCCAATTAAAGTAGGTGGATCTGAGGAAAAAGTTTGTTGCTAAGTAACTCTCCTTGGGAAAACCTTAGCCTGTAAATAAGATCCATTTTGGAAAACAAACATATCCTACTCAAGGGAATATTGGAATATTATCCTTCTCATAGTCTCCTCTATGGCCGAAGGCTGAAGGTCCTTTTCCAATGAAAGCCTGATGAGGGAATTAAAACATAGTTGGCATACGCCCTTCTTCTGCTTCTCTGATGAAGTTATTATGCGTTTAAACTTAACTTTGCTAACTTCCATATATTTATGAAACTTCACTAATTTTTAAATGATTTTAGTTACTCAATTCTTTGGCCGATTGACGATGTTCGAGAAGGTGATGAGTGCACTCGTGATTATCTATTTGGTATTGGGGAAGAGAAGCAGCGATCTGCTCGCCTAACTGCTTGGTTCCATACACCAAAAAACTATTTTCTCAAAGTATGTATTTACTTATTCAGATTTGATTGTTCATCTTGGTAACTGGATATAGATGCTCAACATGAAATTTGGTTTCCATTATTCTTCAGGAATATGAAAAATACAAGAACAAGTTGCAATCAAACAAATTTGTCAGCCCAGTACAGGGGTCATCAGTTACAAATAGCCTGCGTCTTGGTGATGGAAGTGCTTTACGCGTGTACACGGACATACCTCCAGTGGAAGAATATCTGACTCGTCCTGAGTTTGTTATCAGTATGTCTTTATTCTGATGCCACTGTATTTCCTTTTTATTAGATTGTTGACTGTTTCTGTGTCGTTTTCACTGTCTGGACTAGGTCGTTAATGTTCATGCACTCTCATATTGCTTACAGTCAAGAAAGTGTGTACTGGTGGTTTGAGTGCACTTTTATGAACATTTTATTGGCTCAAGACTCTACATGTATTAACTTCACATTACTGGTGGTGTTTATAGCAACTGAGCCCAAAGATGCAGACATTATATGGACAAGCATGCAGATAGATGAGGAGAGAAAGAAGGCAGCAGGACTAAATGATGAACAGTATATAAATCAATTTCCATTTGAGGCTTGCCTGGTTATGAAACATCATTTAGCGGAAACTATTCAGAAGGTCATCATAGATTTCATGTTTTTATATTCAGTGGTTTAGCACTTGTTCTTTATGCAGAATGCTGATGCTAAATTTAGTCCACTTTCTTAACAGGCTCATGGATTGGTCGAATGGCTTCAGCCTACTTATAATCTTGAGACACAGCTAACTCAACTTATTGGAGATTTTCACCAACGTGAAAGAGAAAAACTAGACAATTTGTGGATCTTGAAGCCATGGAACATGGCAAGAACTATTGATACGACAATAACTAGCAATTTATCTGCTATTATCCGTCTCATGGAAACTGGCCCAAAAATCGGTCAGAAGTACATTGAGCATCCTGCTCTATTTAAAGGGAGAAAATTTGATCTCCGCTATATTGTTTTGGTTCGCAGTATGAATCCCCTGGAGATCTTCCTTGCAGAAGTTTTCTGGGTATGTGCATATTTCATTGGTGTAGGTGTTGTCTTAGTGTTCGAGAAGTTGGAAAGAGAACTGTTTCACTATGATAATACTTTATGTTGTACATATAAAATGCCTTTCTAGAAACTGTTTTCTCGTCTCTCGCTAATTGTGTTTCTATTTTCCGTTCAGGTAAGATTGGCAAATAACACATACACTTTGGAGAAACATAGCTTTGATGAATACGAGACTCATTTCACTGTTATGGTAAGTACTGATTACTTGTCTCCACTATTTGTTGATTTCACAGCTCCATAATTAATTTGAGTATGATGTAATTGCATGATTTCATTCCTTGACTCGGTTCTTGACATTTAACGTAATATTCTCCTCTAGAACTACAGAGGCAGGTTGAACCATATGAATACACCAGATTTTGTGAAAGAATTTGAGAAGGAACATGAGGGTGAGGGTATTTTTTAATACGTCGATTTCCTCCTGTCTGTCTGATGTGGATTTAGCAGGACACTGATTTAATTACTAGTCTCACTCTCTTGTCTTTGTTGCAGTTAACTGGCTGGATATCCATTCAAGGATTAGAAGTATGATTAAATCAGCTTTTGAAGCAGCTGCTGTTGTGCATCCAGAAATGCATCATAGCAAATCTAGGGCGATGTATGGGGTTGATGTCATGCTTGATTGCCATTTTCAGCCTAAATTATTGGAGGTATGACAGCAAATTACCTCTATTATAGCATTTTCCGATTTTGGTAGTTTCTGAACTGTAACTGCTCAAAGCATGACTTTGTCACTGATCATCTTTGCTTTTGTAAATATGGTTATGGATATTGTTGCTTGCTATTTTTCTGTGTCATTGTCATCTTAGTGAGACAGTAAATGACCCTCTCGTTAAGCTCAATCTGCAATGAACTCTAAAGCCAGATGCATATCTTTTTGGATGCAGATTACCTACTGCCCTGACTGTGGTAGGGCAGTCAAATACGATACTGAAGCTCTTGGTGGTGGAGGAGAAACTGTTAAAGGAAAAGATTTCTACAACTATATCTTCGGCTGTCTCTTCCTAAATGAAACTAATCATGTTTCCCAGTTGTGAGTGAAACCAGTACATGCAGAGCTCTTTGAAGTAGAATTTCGTGTCAAAGTCTTAACTCTTGATGATTTATGCAAGTGTGTATCAAGAGAAGAACAATACTAGCAAAGCTATTGGTACCATGTAACCTATGCAAAAGTATGTCTGAGCCAGTTTGGACTTTGGAGCTCTTTTACTTTTTATCACCCCACCAAAGAGCTACACCTAGAATGTCTGACCAAAGCCCCTGCCCCTTTCCCAACTCTCTCCCAGTCTATTAATTTTACACCTTTTGAGATGTATCATATTTCCATGGTCTATTAAGGTTCTTACTGTATTTTAGGGTCGTGAAACATTCCAGCATCATCTCCATATTGATGTGTATTTTTCCTTTTAAAGTTTTTTCTGGGGTTGAGAGGGTTGGACATATAAACTAGAGTGTTTTCCATGGGTGAGATAGAACTTCAAGATGCACAATCCCAGTTGCCAGTATGGTTTTACATGTCTGGACTCTGGAGCCTGTAACATGATTGAAAACCTTAGTTTATTTTTTAATGTTCCCCAAGTGTGTTTCTACCTCAGTTGCCAAAGTGACTCTTGCTTTTTCAGTTGTGGTTGGTAACAATTCTGCTTAGAAGGATTATTTCCACTGAAGTATGCTACTGATTTTATGCATATTTCCAAGAGGAGGAAAAACATCCAGTTGAGTGCTTCATTTTCTCAAGATCCCGAGTTCTTTGTGTTTTCATACATTTGAAGACCACAATATCAATGTCTAGCACCATCATGAGGACTGGTAAAAGAAACAAATGGTATTAGTCCTAGAGCTACCGGAAAACAAAATTGTCAAGAGATAGAATTCCAAAAATCATTGTAGCAGGAAACAAAAAGAAAATGTGCACAAAACCCACACATGGCAGTGAAGGCTGAAAACGTTGTATCAACATAGAATCGTCTGTATATATGCAGATAGGACCTCGGCATCCTCCTATGTAACAGACTAACAAGTAATCATCTTTGTCGAAACTACCCTTCGACCTACTAGCCAAGAAGACAGAGAATCGGCTGGTGTGTTGTGAGGTGACAAGTTGCTAACCAAGCAGCTAGCTATCTTGATCGAACTTAGTCATGCCTTTGGCTTTTCAGTGAGTTTACTTTTTTCTGCAGTTCCAAGTTTGACATCCTTTCAAGCTCCAAAGCACGTTCAAGCTTTCATCCAGCAGACGACAATAGTATATGTATTAGTTTTAACCAAAGGAAAGATAATAACTACTAAGCAACATTGTAGCAATTATCAAAGGACTACCTTAGCTGCTCGGCTGCTCCATTCCCCCAGAATAGCTCTAAGCCTCTCATTTTCCTCTACATACTGTTACAAACACCAAATCGAATTCAGGAAGAAAAAAAAAAGCAGATAAAAAGGAAATATCATGCTAACCTTTTGGTGTAAAAGAAACTAGCATGATTATGGAAATCCAAATACTAAAGATGGATGATGGAGTTAGAATAACAGTATTTAGTATTTAGCTATAACCACTAATTTAGTGCATGAAGAAAAGCAAAGTCAATTTGCTTAATATACAAAATTACAAGAAATTAAGTGCAGATCCGGAATAATAATCTCAAGTTAGACAAGAACCTTGAAATGTTTCTCTGATGAAAGCAGAACGTTTTGATCATATTCATAATAAATGAGCGATACTATAAATCAATGTAGATGTGGAATAAATGTCGGCATTTAACTTGAATCTTACTCGGCCTGAAAATTGTAGGACTCATGAGCACCTAGGTAAATCACAGCCAAGAAACTAAGTAACCAGTTGAAGCAAGGACCGTCCCAAGGTCAGAAAAAATACAAAAAGGTATCACCCATTGGTGGTGAATGATGTCTTCCAAATCTGAATTGTTCTTTTCGGCTGTTAAAGCCTACATCTTAGCCAAATACTTTGACTTTTCTTTTGGTACATCATATTCATTTTTAATGGCAAAGAAGCAACAGTTGCAGCAAAAGAAGACAAAAGAGCAGCACGAAGTTGCAACTTACGTTTAAAATGACACTTCTCCATAAAGAAAAGCAACTCCATCTCTGAATACACCAAATATTTTGCATTTACACTAATCCAAAAGTTTATTTTCCAAAATAGTTTCAAACACACCTGATTGTTTGTACTTCGGATGCGCTGCATCTCAGCATCCTTCTCTTCTATTAGAGATCGAGCAAGTCTAAGCTCAGATTGCAATTGATTCATCTGAAACACAAATCTTTCAGCAGATAATTCCAAAAAATTAAAAGGACAACAAATGCTGAGGTAAAACTTCTACTTGGAAAGAAAGAAATATCAAATGTCTGAGACAAGTAAATTCTATTAGTCCTTAAAATCCCTCCACGGACACCAAACAGAATCAGGGAAATCAACAGAAGGAACATATGGACTCAAAAGCAATGGTTACACCTCAAACAACAACAACCACCATGGTTACACCTCATGTAAAGAAATCAGCGAGAGTATTTTTCATCAGTGTGAGATTATAATTCCAGTAAGGCATGAGTCATATGAAATGGACTACCACTTAGAACTGATCCAAATAAACTTTACTCTCAAGAGTTTGAAATAAGATGCCACAATGTAGAGCACCCGGATGCCACATGGATATGCCCCTGAGCAACTACGTCTGTTTCTTAGAATTACTGCTTTACATGTTAGTTCTGCACAGTCTGTTTCTTAGAATTACTGCTTTACATGTTAGTTCTGCACAGTCTGTTTCTTAGAACTACTGCTTTACATGTTAGTTCTGCACATGATAAAAGTACTTCCATCTCTGCGGCACTTAATTTCGTAAGAAACAAGTTAGGTCCAAAAGACCACAAGCCCCAATAATACCTCAGCTGAAAGTGTGCGCAATTCTTGGTCTCGAGCTGCCAGTAAGTGGGCAAGATCAACCTGCAAAACCAAGTGACTGATTATTTTCACCATATTCATAGCTCAAATTCTAATAGCAATTGAGTATTACCACACAAAGATGGTTGATTTTCATTACTGAATAATTCCACAATAAATGAACTAAAATAACATAGCTTCCACATTATCATCTTACAGAATATAAAACAAGCAACAGCTGGCGTATATTATGTCATGCTCAGCATCTATGACTTTATTTCTTTCTTTCCTGGTTTTGTCATCAGGAAACTTGTTCAGACGGTTGTTACCAGCTAACTTGGGCAACAGCAATAACAGAAGTGAAGCGCTTTTTTCATAATCTTAAACAGAAAATACCTTCACCGAGATCTTATAAAATGGGAAGTGCGGAAGAATGTTTACCACTTTCAGATTTATGATACTTGATACAGGTTTCTTTCTCCTTCTCAAATTATTTGTTTTCCTTACTGACTTATAGCTTAATTATGACTCACTATGCAGTCAAAAGTTACATTCTTCTTTCTATTCTAGAGAATACAGGTAGGAGATTCTTATAGCAAAACAACTTCGATAAGGAGAAGCTTACCTGAGGTGCACTCCCATCATTAGACCTTTCATATTTGCTCAAGGATTCTTGTAATCCTAGAATCTAAAGGAGAAAAACATCAAAATTCAGAGAAATAAAGGAAATAATTCCACAAGAAACAAGGACTAATTTCCAATCATAATGCTATTCAATTTCCTATTTTGGCCACAAGAGATCGACACATCCTGCAGCAACCAAGACCTAGAAATGTGTAGAACTCCACCTTCCTTTCCAAACATGACTTGTATGCGCTGTTAACTACTTGATGCACCAACTAGTAAGACTAAAGCTGCTCAAACCGGTTCCTTCCTTACTCTCTTCTTGCAATGAAACATGCCTGGAACCTTCTAAAGAAAGAGTATCAGAGTTTTCTTTATCAACACATACCTCCTCATTCAGAAAGTGTATATTTTCTTGCTGATATTGCAATAAGGTCATGAGCTGATCAGATAGTCGACCACCATCTTGATACCTATACAACAAAAGGCTCCCGGGTAACCATCATTATTATTAGCTTCCACACTTAATAGACTCAGAAAGAGTAATGTGCTTTGACAATAAAAAGATGGGGCTAAAAAGTGCAATAAAAACTGCGTCTGCAAAGCTCCTTATTTTACAGGGGACTCATGGCAAATCCATCCACTATGGCGTCTAAGATTTTTCTACAAACTCATATGCGTAAATCTAATGCAGTACCTCAGTCCTTCCAAAGAACTTGATGGTTGAAGTGGAGAATAAAGTGACTTCAAAACATCGGGCTGGGAATGAAATGAATTGTATTGATGAACATAACCTGTGACAATTGAAAGTGTAGCCTGACAAATGTCATTTTTTAAATATGTTTCCTAATAACATACAAAATTTAGGAATTTACGATAGGCAATTTCTTTGTAGGGAGACATGGGTGGGCTTTACTATAAAAATATAGGTGGAGAAATGAGTCTTGTTAAGGAAAACCACAAAGGAGGTCTCTCACCAATATAGAGAGTCATGAAAGAAGCAACACAGACTACTTCAACCAGCATGATTATCCTGAAAAAGTGGTGGAAAATGCATCAAACCTCTAAATTAGAAACACAAGGCTACAATGAAGCAATCAAGTTATAGGAAGCTACTCCAGTACCACCACAATGAATAATGCAAGCTTCAATAGCAGCATTCTCTATATAATAGAAGCGTAAATGGCTACACCTAACATCTGGCTGAGGCCTTGAACATTTTGAAGACTGGCCTCGAAACTGCATTTAGATCAAGCCTAAGGTTCAACCTTCAGAGTAATTATTACTCATATAAATGACATTTAACTATTTAAGACCCATTTGGATTGTTATGAGTCGGTAGTACTGTATATCAGACAGATCTATCATATTAGTCCATTTTTAAGAATTCATATACGGAAAAGGCGACCTATGCAAATACATCGGTTTCTTACTCGTGAAAAGGAACTATTCTTGGTAACTTGGACAACTTATGACGATGTTTGTCCTGCATATCACCAGGAAGATTGCCACCGACTACGCTTAGGCCCTGACTCATTATTAGAAAATGCAACCCCAATGATTTGGGACCCAATTAACAGATTTGGCCTATTCATTTGCCTGGATCAATAGAAACTTTTCATAGTTCACATCCACTTTGATTTGATTTCAGTCCTTGAACTGGAGCTCCTAAGCTGAAACAAAGGTAGAAGTAGCAATCCCATCTGCCTTATTTTACTCTTCGTCATGCGTCAGTTGTCTGGGGTAGTTTGAATTAAAAGTGGCTCTTTCTCACAAAATTCTGCAGGACATTCAGTGTCTAAATTCTTCAGGTTTGGAGTAGAAGATGTTATTTTGTGTATTCTTCCAGTTCAAAATAAAGCAAAACAAAAATATAATGAAAATCCATTCCTTCATCCTTTTTTTCTCCTTTGTTTAGCCCATGAAATATACACCAAGCTCCAAGAAAGTCCATTTAAGAGTCTCAATCTCTCTGCACTTTCTCAAAAAAAGAGGCTTGATCTCTCTGTCAACTCTTCCATGGTATGTTTGGTATTACTTATCTATCGAGCGTAAACAAAAATACTGGTTGTA